TAGTGCTTCGAAGTGTTCCAATATTATTTTACAATACTTAAGCAGATGGAGTAAATTTAAATTCGAACATTCCTATTGAACACTAAATAATTGTGTCTGCTCAAAGACATTTGAACTGTCCGAAGAGCTGATCTGTACTGATCAAATGAACGAACACAATAACGCTTCACCATTAAAATCTTCTAAGCTTGAATAATATCTAAGACTCTAATATATATAGTAATATTCTACATTAAATATATGAGAAATAGTTACGATTTTTCAAAAAACTATTCAAATCTACAATTAAAAAGATATTAATAAGGACTATATATTTTTATAAAACGAATTAAATCATAATAAAACAAAAAATATTCAAAAAATATACTAATATATCACATTGGCATTAGTAGCTAGTTTTTGTGAATAAGAGTTGTTCATAATTGTTTTTATTTTTTTTGAATTCCATTAGACATTAATACTTGGAAATAGACATAATATACCCTTATGTAATGACTACTCTTATATCGTAGTAGCAACGGTATTAAAAAAGTATCAACGGCGTTAGTTTATCCTTCTATTTTTAAGATTACATTTCTTTTTTTAAAAATAAATAATATTTTCACCTTCTAAAAAATCTGACTAAATTCTATCCCACATTAGAAGTGATCAAGAATTATAAACATATATCACATTATTATCATACGTATATCAGGGCAGTAATCTATATAAATATTTAAAGTGGTTCGAGGGTACTTTGAATATTCGTTCGGTTGACCATTGTTATAATAAAAAATGAACCGGTTTCTGGATTCAGATACAAGTTGGTGATAGGTTCTTTTCAATGCACTGTATAACAAACACCATTTCAATATTTTATTCATTTCTTAAAGCAAGAAATACTATCATTTGAAGTACTATTTTGTCTAACATAAAGAAATATTTTATTGCTAGGATATCTAGGAAACGTTTCATATGCTGTAAAGCTTTATTAGAACAGTAATTGTTTATTAAATCTTAGTGTTTACTAGGACGTCCCGTACGTTTTAGGAATATCTTGCTTCAACGCACAAAATCATATCGGGTTCATTATAAATCTTTATTGAAATACAGGTTGTCTGAGAAAAGGGTGTCTAAAAAAACAATTTTCTCCCATAAAATAGCTTAACTCAAGTATAAGTTTTTAGACTCATTAATATTCTTTAATTTGAAGCGAGCTATGGCTTTGTACGCAAATAGGTTCAAAAACGGTGATGCTTTCAAAAGCGACTTAATGTTTTTCGAAATCTTCATCATTTTTGACGAAAGTATTAATTATTTCGAATATTTTTATCGTATTACGTATATCAATACCTTATTATCTTATAAATAGAAGTTGCAAAAGAATTTTTGATCTAGCACGTACCATATTCCCGTAATTGTTTTCTAAAATAAACTATTTAATACTTTCTTCAACAAAAATTCAAAAATTTATTTATAATTATTTACACGTTTCATCCAATTTGTACGTTTTTGTTCAAAAAAGCAGTTAGTAACTCACTTTAAGAGAAAATTACAGAAAAGGATGTGTGCTGATAGAAAATTTTACATCACGAAATGTTTATAAAATAACAAAATTTAATGATAAAATAACAAAAAAAAATTTTAAAAAACAATAATAGATTTTTAGTAAATATAATCCAGCAGTTCTTAAAAAAATCATCATAATTTCCGAACCTTTATAAGTACAAAGACACATTCGGCATTAAAATAAAAAATATTTAATGTATTAAAAACTGATATCTGACTTAAGCTGACCTAACCATCTAAGCTAAATAAATAAAACATAAATTAATATAAATTTTTTTTTAATTTTTTGTATTAGTGCGAATATTTTTTTGGGAAGGAAAATTGTTCTGTTACGTACTGTTTTTATAAAGCAGATCTGCTTAACTAAAAGTCATTCGACAGTAGGTTTTTTAAAAAATAAAATCAAACATTAGCTCCCTTCTTCAAGAGTATGCTAGAAAACAGAATGCAATGGGTATAGAATTCACTAGATTAAATTGTCTTTTTAGTTAAGATATTGTTTTTCAAAGCAAAAAAACCCTTACTACAAAAATTTTCTCTTACTTACTTGTGTATATTTTATACGATTTAATAAAATACAGTTGGAAAAATACAAAAATAACAAAGGACATATCTCTAATGGCAATAAATTTTCGATTCATTTTAAAGCAAGAAAACACTATATAATTTTCCTATTAAATTTTATTTATATCACGAAATTGCCAAATCATCCAAAGTGCTAGTTAACTGCTTTAAAAAAAAAAAAACAATATATAATAAAAAGATGCAATTATCAGCACTTATAGTGCCGAGTATTGATTTATAAAAAATTTTTTCAGTGAACGTATTTAAAATCATTAATGTTAAAAGTAAATGAAAAAATTAGAAGAAAAATAGAGTTTTTACAAAATTAATTGAAATTTAATAAATATATATTTAAACCAGAATATTTTCAACATCACTATAGTAGGTCCAATAAGTTTATTAATAAATTATAGGTGTGTTTAATAACCTATAAAGACCGGTGAACACAAATTTTAAAAATAAAACATTAATCTTATGAGCTATGTTATTACTGAAAAAGGACTACATCAGGAAAATATCTATTCTTAATGCAGTTTGATTTTGCACACCCTTGATAATGCACACCCTATAGACAAAGTAATAATTTAACAATTTTTCACACGTTTTAAATTTTATTTATGTGTAAAAAAGAAAAGCATTTTTATTTAATATTAATTAATAATAGAAGAAGAATGTATTGAGGCTAATACACATCTATGTAAGTATAATGTATCATAATTGATTAGAGAGAGAAAGAATTTCTTTTTCTATTATATATATATATATAATATATTATATATTTATTATATATTATAAATTAATAGTGAATATTTCCACAAATATATATATTTATATATATTAAATTATATGTTTAAACATTTATATATGATTTTAGATTTTAATTCAAAGTAGTAATAGACGATAATACACGACGAACTAGTAGTCAATATAAACGCAACCTTACAAAATTCAAGGATATGTATCAATAGAAGTTCAAAAAATTAAATGAAATATTTTATTTCAGAAGTTTCAATCAGAGTTAAGAATTAATTACTAGTTAATATTCATTTATAAAAATTAATATTTCTAGAAATTATTTCAGTTCATTTCACTAATAAAAATTAATATAATATAGAATCTTTAAAAGTTTTAAAGTTTATTCAAAGTTATTATTTAAAATTTTAAAACTATGAATAGGATTAAATATTATTAATTAAATATTACATTTACAAATATAAATAAATATCGCATTGATAAATAATCCTTGTACCATTCAAGTTTGTCGATTAAAAGTTCATTAAATACTCCGAATGAACATTCAATATTCGTTTGGTAGTTAATTATCTCGGGTTAATTAAAAATTATGATATACATTTTATGATAAAAAAAAATTATTTAAAGAGAATAATGAAGTTTTTTAAATTTTATTTAAAACACCGTTTACATATCTTAATAATGTACAAAAACGAATGGCATATACTGACAAAATTCAAATGTTCAAATTTAATGTCAATGACTTCTACTGGTGTTTTAAAAATAAAGAACTCGGGTTAATTACCCGGTTTTTCACATATATTAATTTTTGTATAACATTATTGTTTGAGGAAAATAACTAATAGCTAAGACACTGTTGCAGAGCGGAAGCACCTTTTTAATTTAAATGGTCGCGAGTATTTTGTGAGTAGTTTAATAATATGAGAAAAGTATACTTTTTTTAAAAGCCTCGCTTATTATAACAATATTATTAAATTATTTATTATATTAATAATTAATTTTTATATATATATACTTTAATGCAGTGTACGATATTTAACAATCGCTGGTTTTGTTTATTTTCTTAATGTTAGTATGAAATCTGAAATTGTTTGAGCTATATATGATTTAGATACTAAACTAAAATTAATAATGATATTTATTTATGATTGTTAATATTAAAGTTTATTATATTTTCTTTTATAAATAATTTTTAATTATTTAATGCTATATAAATTAATTTAAATATACATTTTTTATAAGCGCTCAACTGTTAACTTTTCCAGAAACAGCTTGTCCATTCCGGCTATAGTCTAAACCTTCAATAAACGTCGCCTTTCAGCATGTCAACAGTGGAATTGCCAAAGTCAGATATTTCTGAATGAAATATCTATATCATTGAAAATTTATTCATTTATTTTTCTTTTCATATTAAATAAAAAACATTTCCCCCTTTTTGGACAAAATTTGCTTTTATTAAAATTTGTTTGCAAATTTCAAATAAAAGACTTTTTTATATTTCATAATTAAAACTTAATTACTTTATTTGAGTGTATACAATTTATGTACAATGTATTAAAAAAATAAACAATGAGTTTATAGGCGCGTGTAGAAGGAAGGTTCAGCATGATTTTGCGTTGTGTACCACCACATCACATTTTTATTTTAAGGGAGGAGTACGAAGACTTGTTTAGGGTCCTCTCCAAAATTTTATTTAGTTTTATTAGTAAAACAATTTGTATTTAATTTTATTAACAAAAAAAAATATTAAACTAAATCTTTGGCATTTTATTTATTTCTTATATGATCACAGTTAAAATTTGTTTAAAATTAAACAATATCATATAATATATTATATATGAAAAATATGTAAATATTAATATAGAAAATAACATATTCCTAACCATCTAATTCTACACTGGTAGTTGCTTAATTCTCTTTATTTATTTATTTATTTATCATAGCAACTACAAAATTACTACAACAAAATCTACCAACATACACATATCATATAAATGCATATATTATTCATCATTTTTGTCTTAATCAGTCTATTTATGTTTTTATTTATTTTCTATCACAAAACAAAAATAAAGAACAATATATGCGTATAATAATATAAATATAATAAAACAAGTTTAATAAGTATTCTATACCTTATTCCCCTAATTGCCTCCTTGTGAGCTTGAAACATTTTAACGTTATTCATATTGGACTGCCAGTACTTCACATAGCCAGAATGATCGCCTGTAACCATCCAACTATCATTGTGTGACCAAATCATAGTACGCACCGAAACATCGTGAGCCTGTTTAAATAAACAATTATATTTATGGTGGATTTGTTATATAGATAAATTGATATATACAGTAATTAAAACGAACTTTATTATCATTTTTTATTACTTATTATTTTTTTTGCTTTAATTTAGAAGAAAGAAAAGCATTTTGTATTTAATACTAAACTATATAATTTTCTAATATAATAAATAAATTGCTTATAGTTAGAACAAACATGAAACTCTGCAGAAACATCAGTCACATTTAATACAAGTTATGAGGTGACTAGTTCGAAAATTTCCAATTAGTACTTATATCACTCGGTATATCATAAACGGTGTTGAATGACAGGTGTTTCGGTTTCTACTTATTTACATATTAATATATTCTCCCATATTACATTAATCAAGTTGTTATCCAATTTGGATCGGAATGTTGGACATTTTTTCCGTAAAAATAAATATTTTTTAAAGGAATAGAAGACTTTCTTACACATTCCGACCATAAGGCAAACCAAAGATGCGTTGGGTTCATGATGTCACCTCAGACACAGTTAATGAAAGCGCTGTATAATAATGGTAAGTATACACATATAAATTACAACGAAGTATTGTGTATGATTACATTCCATTCGGTAAAGTATTATACACTAAACATTAAACAGACAATTTAGTTACAAAAACAAATAAAAAAATATATACATAAAAAAGGTAATAAATATTACTGGGACGCTTATTGAAATTGTAAAAATATAATATATAGCATTAATAGAGTTTTATTATTTATTTATATATAATAAATTTATATTTACAATAATTATATATAAATAACTTTTAGTTTCAATTATGGTACTTAGACTATTAATTTTGTGTTCATAGGTATAGACATATGAATAATAAAAATAGTAGATTTTGGATACGAACATTGGATTAAATGATCAAAAAATTTTAAGCAGCTCCAAGATGTACGAGTTACACAAACAGCTCATCTATTTAATGTTTAGTGTATTTTCGGTCACATTTACACAAATAAGTTCTCGAATATAATCATACTCGTATATGTTCGATCATATCAAAATACTCAAACCTTCGAACAGCTGGAACAGCACTTATATATACAGACTTTACATAATAAATAATTTTTTGAGGATCACTATCACTAAGTGCTAAGTGCGTGATAAGAATCAAACTTTGGATATAATTTTAAGATAGGTATATCGGAACAAGACTATAATGTATTTACTTTATATATATCAAGTAATCAACTGAATACACTTGGAAATTATATTATTATTATTCTAAAATTATTACTACTGTCTAAAATTTTAGCAACTAACTGTCCCATAAAAGAGTTTGTCCATGCAATACCACAAAACGATATAGAGTTACTTATTGTTTTTATTATTTGAAAAGCAGTATTTTAAATTATATTTTAAGTAAATTGTAAAAAAAACTGAGTAAAGCTTTAAATTTTACATATTTATGACAATTAAAAAAACTCATAATCAGTCGGACAAACAAATTATAATAAATGAACTTATGATATGTAAATAGCAACAAAAATCATATAATAGACACTCTATATCAAATTTTATTAAATAAATAATATATATAGTGTACATAATGTAATATACATAATGTATAAAATTATATTTATGAATGTATATTTCCATAATTATTTCTTCTTTAAAAGCATATTTTTGTTTGTCTTAAATATTCATGCAATTATTTTAATATTATGCTTACCTGTAAAATTGTTTCAAAGTTGAAAGTTAAACCATTCCATAGAGTAAATTCGCCAGAACTTGCACCAGTCACTAAGCGTCTACCTTCTGGCGTCCAAGCTAACGTGAATATAGGGCAACGCATTTTATTCGTGGCAGTTTTGACAAATCGTGTAGTTACTGCATTAGATGGATTATCTAAATAGCTGGACGGCGGCATTAATTCGGGTATATATATATTTTCAGGTTCCATTGCATGTCGGTCACGGTAATCTCGCTGCCATAGACGTGTCTTTTATGGTAACATAAAATTTTATTATTGATGTATACTAATACACATATATAGATAAATATACTGATAATTTAATGTTTACCTCCAAAGCTCGAACAATGGACGCATTGTAGTCAACTGTTTTACGCATAACACTTTTGCGTAAACGTTTTCCATCGAAGTCGTCTTGTGTCATGCCATACGGTTTTGGAGCAAATGGTTTAAAATAAGCATGACCTGGTTTATTTGTACCTCCATGATGTTGATGGAAGTAGTTACGATGATGTGGTGGTCCTGCAGTTTGAGGTATGGAAGTGGTATTAGTAGCTAACGCAGACGGTGCAGTCAATTGTGGTGGTGGTTGTGTAACATCAATTGAAGGTGGTGGTTGTTGGAAATCCATTTCTTTTATTTACTTTCTTTTTTGAAATTGCTATTTAATTACGTATATATTACAAAAACTCAAAATCTTTTGTACTTTTTTTCTCGTAAATGTGCTGGCGTTGATGCAGACGCGTGTTTGACATTCAACTGAAAGCAATTCGATTTCTGCCAAAAATTGTGTTAAATTTATTGTATAAATTTTATTAAATGTTCATTTGATTCATTTTACGTTTTATAATACATTTTATTATACATATTTATTTATTAATGCACTTCAAAGAAACTACTAAGCTTGGAAGAAATATGACAACTTTTTGCTTGTGTCAAATGAAGTTAAGTTAGTTGCGTTAGAAAGAAATATTTAAAGGGTGTAAATAATATTTAATTTTTAATGTCAGACAAAGTTGTTGCTGAAATTGTTTTATATATATATTATATATACCCAGTTACATATAGTCGCATTTTTTTAATAATAATAATATTTATTATAATAACAGTATAAATATTTAAAATTATAAAATATTGTAAATAAAAATAACGAATTACGCAGGCATTAGTAGATATGACAATTTTTTCAGTATTCAGTAAAACGTCAATTGTTTCGTATTATCCGAAAATGTTCTACAGAAGAATGAATGAAGATAAAAAAGTATACAATAAAAATTAAATAAAAAACAAAAATTTTACTTAAGTTTTAATTTTTCTTATTCTTGCATTTATTCTTGTCATTTTCTTCCTTTTAAGAAGTATAAAACAAACAAAAATAAAATCTGATACTTTAGCAGTCTAATTTTACAACTCTACCAACAAAAAACAAAATAAAACATATGCGTTTAGAATTTAGAAATTTCATCACTGAAACAGCTGTTATATTATGATTTCACTGCTTCCATTGGCTTGAGTTGATTTATGCATAGGAAATAGCTTGATTGCTTGTATTTTACATATAAATTATGTTTGTAATTTTCCTTGAGGGAAATTTATTTTTAAGGGTTGCATTCGACATTTTTCGATTTAGATCAGTTGATTTATTTATAATGAGCTCATTTATATGAAAGCTCCTTGTATGATAAATTATCCTCATTAGCGGCCTTAATGAGCTAAAGTGCCTAAATGAGACAAGCAGATACATGGTATTATGCTTATATATTTTAATATTATATATAAATAGCTTTTCTGTTTAAGAATCTATATTCCTTAATGTGACTTTAATTTGAAGAATTGTAATTGTTTTAGTTTAAGCTGACTTTTGAATTGTAAAATATTTTTCTTGAAAAGTCAGGAAACAAATTCTTACAGTTCAAAGCGATTTAATATGAGGTTAAATAATCAGATTAGGAATAACGTGAAATAAAATAACAAAGTCCGGGTTGTGGATTAGGATATATGTATATTAAAATTCGGTTGAAACACGATTTAATAACTTTGTTATCGATATTACTCTTGTTTGTATTGTAAGGCTTGTCTTAATTTTAAAATACTGTAGGCATTAACAGATTTACTAACTATGCTGGATTTAAAATTTATAGATTATGACAATTTTGAATTTAAGATTTGACATGGGTCTATAATGGAATAAATAATATTTCCTTTATTCAAAGGAAGTCACTTCCAAATCTAAACAAGTGAATTTATAGTATTAACGTTTGGCTACTAAAATTTCCCTCTATGTTAATGACAAAACTAAATTTGTTGCTGATATACAACATTAAGATAAGTTGATATTTAGGTCGTGTGCGAGTTAGGCTAAGTTGATGCTAAACCAAATGGGAGATTTTTTTGGATTTTTTGGACTGCACACATTTTGCCATTTATCAACACGTATCGACACATCACTACATTATCGGCACAACTTAGTATTTCCCTCATTTAGAACGCAACTTAGCCTAACTCGCACACGACCTTAATAGTTTACATTTTTCGTGTTATAGCATATTCACAATGTTTCATTTAGTCCATTTTGCTTATTATAGTCACTAATGAGGGTGATTTACCATACATAGTCCTTTCATACAAATGAGCTCATTATCAATAAATCAGCTCTTTTAAGGCGAAAAATATGGAATACAACCCTTAAATATGAATTGTTTGTAAAATGGTTGTTGTATATTATTAATGATATATTATGATATACTATTTAAAAAGTATAAAAATGTGTAAAACTTCTATCAGTTGCATAAATGAGCTTATTATAATTTAAACGTTAACAGATTAATATAAATGTACAAGTGTTTAAATGGGACAGTGTGACGTACTATTAAGGTGATGTCAAATTCATTTTTCTCAGTTACTCTAAGTAGCCTCAATCAAAGCTATATCTGTCAATTTTTGATTTTAATTGATTATTAAATTTCGATTCGGCACTCTGTTTCATTAAGGCTACAAATTTCCATAACTAGGATTCAAAAGCAGATATAATTTTAGTTCCGTTTTTTTCCACAATTCATCATTTTTATCTCAAAATTTCAATTAAATTAATTTACATTAATATTTCTACTAATACCTATTTCACTTCGTTACATTGTAATCATACTTCTAATTTCGTTCTAATTTAATTATAAATTAATTTGAAATATGAGAAAATTAAGTAAAAGGAATAAACTACACAGTTGTTAAACTTATTTAATTATATCAAAGTTCAACAAATTTGTTTCGACTGTTTTAAAATATAGTTGTCAGAGTTGCATTTCTAAGTATGTAAAACTAATTATTCAATGTTGTAAGAATATATAATGCTACGTGTAAGATTTTATTGGATTTTTTACTAGATTTTTTTATATATAAGATATTTTGTTTTTAAAGTTCAGTATGTATTAGGTAATTCTCTTCCTGATTGCTTTTTAATTTACCCGTAATGTAAATGCAACTGATATGAATTTTAAAAAGCCAAATTTTAAACGTGTTTTGTAAAAGACAATGTCACAAAATTTAAAATAAAATTAAACATTTTCTACATATATATTTCAAGAAAACAAGTCATTATGGTGCTTTTACGTGATCACAATAATAAAAAGTAAAGCAAATACTTGCATTTTTCAGTGATGCATGTTCATTAGATTCTTTTTAAGGAAGGAGTTTCGATGCAATCACTCCGTTATTGTTTTCAATGTGCTCTGCATATAAATGTTGTTTTGTAACGAGCGACTTTTAACCAGTTTGAATACACCTGGAAGATGTTATGAGCTAAAGAGCATGTTTTAATAGAATGCGGCTAAGAAAATTAAACTAATCTAAATTATTATGATTCTAAAAATTATATTTTCTAACTTATGATTCTAATTATTTTCATAATAAAATGATGTTCATTACATTAGCAATGAATCATTATCGATTCTAATTAAAATGTGACTGTTAATAAATAATATTTTTTAAAATACAAAGTTAAATATATCCAAACATTTTTTTGATGAAAATATTATTATATAACCACTCAAACATAAGAGTAAATAATGAGTGAAGAACCAGGTGAAGAACCGGACTTTCATAAAGGACAATAATTAAAGCAGCGTGGTAACTTCAATAAGATTCTGGAACAATAAAAATTGTTATTATATAGAGTTTAATGTAAATTATATTGTTTATCAATACTTTATTTTTTGTTGAATAAGTTTAAAGAATTAAATGTGATTTAAATATAACTTAGACGAATTTAATTTTTTTATATTTTTTTTTAAAAATGGAATTCGAAATTTTGTATGAGTACCATATAAACTGAATTATTAAAATTTAATTTTCTACATCATTTATAAAATTATATATGTATTTAAATTAAATATAATAAAATAAATTTGTGAATTGTACCCAAAACTAACTATATTGATACAAATTATAAAAAAATCTTTTTAATTGTTTAAAATTTTACTAAATTTAATGTAAAGTATTTCTACTTATTTCTACTTATATATATATATGTATACCATTATAAAAATCTATATTTATAGATATCGATTATATCTATATTCATATAGATATATAAATATATAGATATATATAGATAGATATATATAAATTCATATAGATATATTTAGATATATAAATTAAATATAGATTAAAATAGCTATACCACTAAATCTATAGAAGAGTTCTTAAATATGTAAATTTTTGATGATAGAATTGAGCATCCCTTGATGAAAATAAAAGTGTTTTAGAAATAAATAAATTTAAATTTTATAAAAATTATAAAATAAACTATTATTCTACATTTATATTTCATTTTTAATAATTATCTTTGATGTGAATTATAACATTAATTAACCTTAATCAACCTTAATTTAATAATATGTTTTTAAAGAAACTCAAAAAAATTTCAATAAGTATAGTAGTTCAATAAGAGTTGTAACGGAAATAGGAAATGGGCTAATGATGATTGGAACCCTTTGCTTTTTAGCATATTACAAATGAAATTTATGTGGGTAGTGTAGCAATGTAAATTTCTCAGCACTCCGTACATTATTTTGATAGGTAATAAACGTAACTACCATCCGATATATCTTAATTTAGTGTCTCACATTTATTGGTTGACTTAAAGTATATTACACAATTAGTAAAAGGATTTTATATCAAATTATTTTGGAACTATAGTAAGGAACTATAGAATTGTTTTTATTTTTGAAATATTTAGATTATTATTTTGTAATAATTGAATCAGTATTAAAATTTGTTAACTTTTTAATTCTCAAGATATGTTTGAAAAAGAATTTAAATTGTCTAGGATACAATAAAAGGAAATTTCATTTCTTAAATTCCCTTTCCCTTTACCACTTAAATGTCAAAACATATTTCAGTGGTTGTCAAACTGTTCAGTCATTAAATTGTTCCGGCTGTAATAAGTCGTTGAGTATTTAACTAATTTTAATAAGATCTAATAAAATTAAGTTTTAAATTTTTAATTATCTATTAAACATTACGTTAGTGTTTTATATATTCAATTTAAATTTATAAATTAAATAATTTATTTTAAAAAATTTTAACGGTATGAGACACAACATATATACACGCATACACACTCTATCGCAGTTAAAAACATTTAAAGCAACAGTTTTTATTAAAAAGCGGAAAAATTTAGTGTTACTGTTGAAAATTGTAGAAAAGAGGTAAGCATAAGCTTAACATGTAAATAAATTTCAACAATCAACAACAGCAACAACAGTGTCAGCAGCAGTGCTAACACCGATACAAACACCAGCGTCAATACCAACAGTAACAGTAACAGTGGCAGCAGAAGCAACAGCAACTAAAAACTTTTATCTTTTGTTTGTTTGTTTTTCTCTTTTTAATGGAAAATTCGCATATAAAAACCGTTGCTTCAACGTAGCTCAAACTTCAGTTGATCGTTGCCTT